ATCAACACTAACTTAGAATTGGTTGCCCGCTATCATCGTCTATTGAAACTTTTCCATCTCGCACCAAGAATGATAGGTAGAATATATTTTCTACTGTTTGCCCAAATGAATGAGGGTTTATGATAAAGTTGAAGAAATTGATGGGCTGACTTTCTCCTAGAACGTCATAGATCATTCTAACATTTCTTGTCGTTTCATTTTCTTGTCTTCTAATATCATTTTCTTTCAACTTGTATGTATATAATTTTAAGTGTGGAAAAAATGGATAAATAAATAAATAATAGGAAAGAAAGAGCAGAGAATATTATTTTGTTCGTAGAACAAGTAATAGATAACAATAAAGTACTTCAACAGGCGTTTTAAGATCTTTTTCATGTTTCTCAAGAACCCTTCTCACAGTCTTTTGTCTTTCTTTTTGTTCAATTGAAAGAGGTCCGAGACTTTTGAAATTGAAAAATTTGCATTATTTAGCATTGTTAGTGATTATTAGCATTAAAATTAATGTTTTAAACAGGCAATGCAAGTTGTGCACTATAATAAATCACCTTTATTATTTTTAGCAAAAAATCATTTTTATAATAAAATTTATAATTCAATAATGCTTACATGAATCCAGTTGTGGGTACCCTTAGAGTAGATTGTGCAGCAAGTTTACCAATTTTTTTCCAATCATAGTAATCTTCATTATCAGCATTTCTAACTTTCAAACGGCCAACTACTTTTGATATATAATCTTCTGTATCAAAGCAATTATTGTCCAATCTCATACGACGAGCTTTCTGTAGACCCAAATCACTCGACAACACCAAGAGTCTTGAATCAAGCGTTGCTTCATGTGTATTTTTTACTTTATTATAACATTAATATTGATTGTGTGAGCGAATATCTTTATATATATATATATATATATATTGAAGATGAGAATGTATTTTTTTTTACCTTTTTCATATAATTCATTAGCTTTAGCAATATTTTTTTCAAGGCCATCAGAATCAGGTCTTAAATATTCTTGACGTTTTTCTAATAATAAAAATGATATTGATATATTAATATTAATATATATGCTCATAAAATTTATTATAAAATATCACATACCCTCAGTTTCTTCTATAAGACTTCTATACTCTTTGCGTAGCCATCTTTTCTCGTTTTTATCTTGGTCAGGATCATAGATATTGCTCCCAATAATATTTTCATATTTTTTTAAGCGAGAATTCTGAGAATGTTCTTTTGAATTATTAGTATTGTTCATTACAACATCTTCCATGTCCATTGTGTTCTCTTTATCAGAATCGTTATTTATAGACATACGAGTTGATGGCATAATTTGGATTTTAAAAATTTTAAATTCAAAAAGTTTAAATGTTCAGAAATAAACGCGTAATTTAAACTTATTCTTCTTCTTCTTTTTGTATTTCAAGAACCATTTGCATCATTTGCACTTGGGGATATATAATAATATATATGGATATTGGATGTGTGACAATAAGTCTAATTTTACAATTGCCATATTTTTTTTTTGTTCTAGAAATTTTCTACTTAACGCGTGATTTAATTTGTGCCATACATACATACCTATATATTTATTGAAAATAAAATTGCATGGAATCATTCCATGGAAATTTTCTCTTTATTATTATTGATTATTTAGGTTTGAAAAAAAAAATTCAATAAATAAATTTGTTATTTTTTTTTAATTTTTTAAAAAATTAATAAAACTAGTCTGATATTTATATATAATTTATATAATCGCAATTAAATTATTTTTTTAAATATGGGAAAATCTAATAGTAAACTTAGTGAAGAACAACTTAAGGAACTTCAAAAATGTACATATTGTAGGTACTATTTAACATTTATTAATGGTAGTAATTTTAACGTTTGCAATTTACTACACGCATTCCTTAAGGATGATAAAAAAATTTTATTCAACTTAATTCGCCTCTCTTCTCATTAACTAACTAATTTTAAATTTCTTTTTGATTTAACAAGTTAATAAAAACGAACTCCAACAATGGTAAATAAATAATTTGATTGATTTGATTCACTTAATTAATTCAAGTATAATAATAATAATGACACACTATTTTTGTTGTTGTTGTCGTCATTGTTATTGTAAAGGTACAAAGGATTTCTCAAGGATTGTCCTACCGGCGAACTTGACAAAACAGAATTTCAAAAAATTTATAAACAATTTTTTCCGTTCGGTGATCCTTCAAGGTTTGCAGAGTATGTTTTCAACGTGTTTGATGAAAATAATAACGGAAAAATTGATTTCAAAGAATTTATATGTGCGCTATCTGTGACTTCGAGAGGAAAATTGGATGAAAAACTATTATGTGAGTAAATATTTGTGATTTTATGTAATTGATATTTTAATGAAAATTTATTATAATGCTATATACAATAAATATCATTATAGGGGCATTTCAATTATACGATATTAATAAGGATGGATTCATAACGCACGAAGAAATGTTAAGAATTGTTGACGCCATTTATAAAATGGTTGGAAGTATGGTGAAGTTACCAGCAGATGAGGACACACCAGAGAAACGTGTTAATAAAATATTTAATTTGATGGATAAGGTAAATTATGATGATCATATTTTACATGAAAACGGTGAAAATATTAACAATCATTAATCCATGAATATTTAGAACAATGATGGTAAATTAAGTATGGAAGAATTTAAAGAAGGTTCAAAACAAGATCCTACTATTGTTCAAGCGTTAAGTTTATACGACGGTTTAGTATAATAATTAATTAATACACTCATGAGATAAATAATCCATCTATAATAATTATGAAAAAAAATATTTAGTTAGATGTACAGAAAAATATATTTATAAATTCTATTTATTTAATCATTTAATTAATATTAAAAATTTAAAATAAATATTTATTTATTTTATTTTGTTTTTTTTTCAAACAACTTTTTACGTTTTGAAAACTTGCTTCTTCTTTTTTTAGTATTTGTTGGGTCTGTGATTAATCCATTGAATAATCCATTGACGTCATCGGAATTTTGAAATCCACGAGACTTGTTATTTATTATATGAAATCTAATAATCATAATTATTAATGTGTGCGCTTGATTATACAACCACATTTAATATATAATTTAATTCTCATCGGAAAGAAATATTAAATTTTTTTTCTTATATCAATCTGCAATCAATGAAATGAATTATCTCAATCAATTAAATCAATCATTAATATTAAACAATTTTAGCGATTCTCTTGCTCTCATTTGCACATTCTAAGGTTTTGGCTAAATTCGAAACAAGTAGTTTCTATTTCATATAAATGCTTGTTGAACTCTAAAATCTGTTCCTTTCCGTTACTTTGTTTTCCCCCTAATATTATTATTCTTTTTATTTAGTTCTCTATTTTTCACACGACTACGTTCAACGTATAACATAATATTAATTTGTGTAATATTATGTATCGATTTGGAATAGATTAATCCATAAAACATTGTGTGCCATCTACATGCATTCTATTTTCATTTACTTCCAGTGAAATATTAAATTTTTGTTTCTTGCTTTTCTTTTTCATCTTTTGCTTTTAGATAAAAGTTTTAATAATTAATTGTGTAAACAATGTAAACAAGGGTTATTTCTATTACATAGCGCATAGTATCAAAGAGCTCCAAATCAGAGTTGGACAATATTATTTAATGTAGCTTTCATTTATCTGTATAGTAACATTCGTATCGAATTCAAATGGGCTGATTGTAATTATTTACTTTGCCTTTGACGGATAAATTAATCTACTAATTTCACAATATGCTACTTCGTATTGATCCATGTAGAAATAATATGAAGCTGTACCTTTTATTATTTGAATTTTTATCCTTTGGGCAGATATTCTATTTAAAAGATTTTTAGCCTATATATCTAGATTCTTTTGGAGGTTATGCAAAATGTGACATAAAACTTCAACTTTTTTTTTATATGAATGACCTGATTGGAATTATTGGAACGTTGATTCATTCTCTCAATAAAATCGTTTTTACTTTAACTTTTGAATTGACCAATGTACAATTTTGTTAGTTCCTCTTTTTAATTTGATAATTATCGTTACATATAGAATAAATTTTTGCTCGTATTTCAATTTTTTTCGTGAATAACTAACTAATAAAGATGTTTTGCACAGCGAAATTTAAGAAAATCAAAACAGAGGCCCGACTTTATAAGACTCTTGTTGATTTGCAGTTAATGTATCTATTTATTACTTCTATAATAATAAGGTGTTCATCTTTTGCTAACCGTACATATATCTATCACACAATTAAAAACACAAATAACTAATCACAGAGAGAGTTGAGTTGAATTATAAAAAAAGATTTTGTGATCAACCATCTTTAATATATACAATGTTGCGCCTCGATAACTACCATTTTAGGTAACTCACGTGACAATCAAAAAACATTATTTCGTCTTTTTTGAACAATCAAACAACAAACAAACAATCAACCAATCAATCGATCAAAGATTATTAATCATCATTATGCTATATATAATAATAATAATAATAGAAGAATTGTTATTCGCACCCCTCCCGTGACTAAGACAAATATGAACCAATAAAATCATCACATTTTAAAGCCATTCATTGGTCACATTACTACACTTAGTCACGGGAGGGGTGCGAATAACAATTCCCTAATAATAATGTCGTAAATTTGTTTTACTAGTAATCACATTGGTATATTATGCATATAATGTATTTAATTTTTTTAACATTTCTCGACCCCGGAAAGAAAAGAATTGCCTGGACAATCTAATGCTCTGTCTGGTATTATCATCATCGGTATTTAATTATTAATTCTTGAGAATGTAATATAAGATTAATTTATATTATACTGTTTTATTTTGTATATTTTATATAAGCAAACTTATTATTCACATTAACGTTAACTTAATGTTTAACATTCATTCAATTAATAAAATTGATGATTGGTTAGATAAAAATCATTATGTTTTTTTTCTTTCTAATCTTCCTTCCCTTCTAATTCAGTTTCAAGTGTATTGATGCTTACATGTTATGTCACTTATAGCGTGCCAGCAAAATTATATTTAATTGATACGATGCTTTACAATGATTGTATTAGGAATTATCGTTTTTTATTTTTATTTTCATTAAAAAAATTTTTTTTTATAATCAAGTTATGATGAGTGAATCTTGATTTTCTAGCATCTCGTCTGTTTAAGACATTTTTACTTTCTTTTTCTGCTGCTTCCACATCATCTCGAATATTGTTTAAACTTTTAAAATCATCCAAGTTCTAAATATTATAAATCAATTATTATCATAATCAACATCAATTACATAAATCATCATTGTCATCATCATCATATAACTATATCATATATCTATATATGTAGTTTACCTGCAAGGAAGAGACGACAACAAAAGCTAAACTAATACCAAAGGATGACGGTAACCAAAGATTATTATCATCTAGAAAGGCAAAAGTTGGCTTAAGGGACATATTAATATTTGAGGTATTGGCATATGTAAATACTTGTTTGTAACAATTATAAGCTAAGCGCGCATTTCCTTCAGCTGAAATTGTTGTAGAATCTATGGAAAATTGATTTGGGTTTGAATGATCATCACCATTATTATTCATTTGTTCCATTTCGCTATAAATAGTAATGATGATAATAATAAATATATTTATAATTATTATTAAGATGGCAAAAAAATCTTTTCTTTGAAGTCTTTTTTTTCTTTTACTTACATTCTTTGTAAGTGTTCTAAACCAATCTCGCCATCAGTTAAATTTTTTAAAAGTGCAGGAATGATTTGTCGCAATTGACGTTTAGATTTTGCTTTGTATAATGCATCAGAAGTGACCGCAGCTTGAAGTGCGTGAAGCCCTATAAAATTATATCTATTTATGTTTATATTTAAATTAATAAAAGATTCAATCAATTAATAGAATATCATCGTCATCATCATCTTCAATGTTTACCTTTTCTCTAAATCAATATCAGACACAATTTCATAAGTTGCGTATTTTGCAAAATCAGAGATCAAACTTTCATAAATTTTTGTAAATTCATTATCTACTCCAAGATTTGTTACATCATGATATGAACAAAAATCAATAAACTAATAATAATAATAATAATAATAATAATAATAATAATAATAATAATAATAATAATAATAATAA